ACACAAAATGACGGGATATTTCATCCCATTGAGCTCTTCATTTCAACACAATGAAAAACGAGATTTATAATGAAAGATTCCAACTGATTGAGCTCTTCATTTCAGCACAAACTGACTAAATATTTTAGCTCCAGTCAAAGACAAAAATTGCAGAAACAATTGATGATTTCAGCACATTGAGCAAACCAATTCAACATAAAATGACTATAGATTTATAGGTAGCTAATTGAATTACCTTATGTTTTCTCTAGCTCATCTATTCAACAAAAGAGGGAGGAGTGTGATTTCCAAAGCATCATAATACTTACAATATACAATGAAGATAAAATAAGTACTTCTACTGTAGAGACAGAAATAAGTGATCAAGCTCCTGTGGGACTATGATCATGGCCATCAAGTGTCTGGTAAATCTACTCAGATAAACTGGTGTCATTCACACACTATATTGTCTAGCCATATGATGAAACTATTCACTAAATAGGGTCATAATAATAATCAGATTTCGATTTTGGGGTTGTTGCTGAGATCGCAGCCACCAACATTATAGATGAGCTTGTAGAAGTTTCTGAGGCAAACATCATTACCTCTTCCACTGATCCTGAATTGGCAGATGGAGAAACTGAGGAGGAAAGCAATGTTAAAGTGCGACTTCACAAGTTGAATAACTATTGCTATTCTAGTTCTATTATCTATAAGTTATAGCAAATCAATTTCTCGTTTGCAGTTAGAGCTTCTCAAACACATCGAGTATAGGGATAGCATAACTTGCTTTTACTTCTGGATGCATAGTAGGAGAAGATGAATCTGGATTATAGATACAAAAGAAAATTAAATCAACCTAGAGATCAAATCGCATAAACGAGGTTCTAAAGAATCTAAAGTCAAATATTAGTGCAAAAGAAATCTAAAAAAACACAAACATGGAGAGAAAGAGAATTGACTTAGATTGCGAGCAGTGGCGTTGACAGTGAATCCACGGTGTAGCAACAACTTGACCAGCCATGAAGCTATGAAACCAGATGCCCCTATTACACATACTACCTTTCCTTCTCCACTATTCTTGCTTTCCATAGCCAGATGTTATTTTAAAAACAATACAGAAATGTAATTCTATTTGGCCATAAGGCATATAGTGGTATTTGTGGTCTTGGAAGTATTCTCCAAGGCATCACTTTATTCATGCTTTCTTGGTCATCTCAATTCAATTCACTCAAACAAGAGTTTTTAACTGCCCTCTAAGTTATCAATACTTTGTCCTTTAAGATACTAGCAAAAAGATCACTAGTTTTAATTTAGCAGCAAGTGCAACAGTTGTAGACTGCGGTTTACTACTTAAGTTTGCAGCTTATAGATGAGCATTTGTCTTGGAATCAACTCCACCAACTATGACAAGCCCATCGAAGTCGAAATCATGCGCTATTTCAACAGATTGCTCAACTTGGTTGAGGATATCCAATATTAAATTTGAGAAGGTGGTTTTGAAAGTTATTGTGGCAGGCAAAGTTGAAAAGTTTGTACACAAAGAGAGACCATAAAATGATTTACCACACGATCTAAAGGAAAGGCACCACAATCAAGAAATTGACCACGATTAAAGTGAATATACTGCAAAGCAGTCCTTGATTTACTAACTTTACCAAACACAGCACACAAGAGTGTAACAACTCTATCTACCAGAATATATGGTGACTGCTTGGAATAACATCCGGCAAATTCTTGAAGCACTCTTTGAATCTTCTCCTCTATAACATTCTCTCTCGATTTAACCAACAAGAAACCATAAAAGTTTCTCCTCTGCCCAGTATATCTACCCAGTTGCAAGAATTTCTCAAGGTTGATATAATGAACTTATCATGATCCAAGTCACTCGAGGCAGCACAAAATACTAAACTGAACATAGTAAGTAAACTAGAGCCATGATCAAATGGAAATTCTAACCCGAATTGATCATGTGTAAATAGATTCAAAATTAAGAGAATTTCATCATGGCCAAGTCTATTGGTTATACCTCTAGTTATAATCTTGGTGTAACAGCAAGCTGAAGGAACTGAAGACATCCTCTTCTCGCATTGAGCAAGCCCAAGTCCATGTTGAGGGTAACTCTTCGGAATGTCCCGCAAAAATTGATTCAAACAATCATTTAAGACTTTATGAATATCAAACATGGTAAGGCCACAACGAATAGAAACTATAGTACTAATCCATAATGAAGGCTTAGATGCATTTGCAATAACAAATACTATAGGCTCATCTCTGATGGTAACATTTTCCTTTTCATCATTTTTTATTTCACTTTTTGCATCATTTTTTTTTATGACAAGGGAAACCCGCAGCCGCTACGTAGAAGTCCCAAGCCCAAACCACTGGGCTACCCCGAAAGGTCACTTTTTACATCATTCTCACAACCAATTGCCTTAGCTGTAGGAGAGACAAAATATGCCAAATCATTAACAAACCCGATTTCCAACATAGGCACTATATAATGGCCCGATTGGTCATTTTTGGAAATTTTCATAAACTTACCATTTTACACCTCTCAACACCAACCCCGAGTCATTTCTGATTGGATTTTGAAATTGGTGTCGATCTTTGAGTAAAAAGTTGAGAATTATGTAAGTTTTTGGGTTTTGAAAAGTTAAAGCTGTTAAAAAGTGGTTTTCGATGTCTTTTAGAGTTCAAGTGTCACAATGGAATTTCGTCGATTCCATCAGTCTCAGAATGTGGAAATTTGTCTAAGAGAGTTGTCGGTTTCAGATTCAAAGTCATTTTGAGGATTTAAGGTCCTAGCTTAAAAAATTGTGAAATTTTAGTCTTTGGTTTGACTTTGGTCAAAATTCGGGGTTTGGATGCTCGGATTGGATTTTCGAGAGTTTCATCGAATTCGGGGGATGATTTTAGGACTAGGTGAGGCCTTTGGTTGAATTTTCAGAAATCCCGAGCGTGTTATACCTTTTTTAGGCATTATGTTCGTTTCTTGTGACTTTCACAAGTTCTGGGTTAAGGAGACCTTGGATGCGAGTTTTGGTGGTTCCATGCATTGAGCCTGGAACATCGAGTTTAGTCTAGCTGCATATTTGGTTTGTGTGAATAGGGTTCCAAACGAATCCCAAGGGTCCATTCGATGATTTTTATGTTGGCTGATTTGTTGTTGAGGTCTTAATCAGTTGTACCTCGCGATCGATGGGGTTGTTCACTTTTGAAAACCTCGCGTTAGTGAGGCCCTGATTGCTAAAGCAAGGGAGGTGAGACCCCAGACCCTTGCATTGCCGCTTTCGCGACCTGCACGTTAGCGAGGCATGGATCGCATTCGCGGGAGAAGCCTTTTAAGTGGGACTATTTGGTTGACTAAATGTTGGAGAGCTTTATTTGGGATCCAGGCCAAATTAGTAATTGGTTATAAAGGACCACCGGTTAGAAAGAAGAATTTTTATGCATATTGAGATGTGAACGTTGTTTTTTCTCTCAGCTATCTATGATATCCTTATCCAATTATGTATCAGTTTAGTTCTTGTCCAGTTTCTTATTTGCTTCTGTTGAATTTACTTTCTATCATTATTAATTACTTTGTAATTTCAGCTTAGTGTTCAATATAAAACAATCAGTGATCTATTAAATGAACAAAGTTGTCTATTTTCGATTTGTTTCCAGAGCACTATTTAACAAGCAATTAATCAAAATTGTCCAATTATGGAGATATGCATTTAAGAATATCACAGTGAATCAGTTACTCTCCAAATTAGACCATTTACACATTATGACATTTTTATGGAACTAGGCAAAATGTCCCTCTCAGACTCAAACCATGCACACACCAAAATATACTTATATGCATCTGCCATTGTCGCTCCGTCACCCAGACTTAAACATTGAATTGATTTTCCTCTCATGCAATTTGTCGAGCAAGGTACGTGCACAATTTTGACTTCACTTTTGGTAGGTTTAATTACCCTCCAACAATCAGAATTATAGTTCAATCATAATCACATCTCAATTCATCCAACAAGACTAGAACAACTTAAGAGGAAATAAGAAAAGAAAGAGAGGAGAAGGTGAGATGATGTGTCTGAGAAAAGTGGGAAATAACAAGAGGAGTGTGGGGAGTTTTGTCTTTGAAAATTTCACTTATCAGGACTCAAAATTAACCACAAGCCTTCTCTATCAAAAATAAGTTCAAGCTGCACTTTGTGAAACTGTTGCAAAGTTTATTAGAACTTTTCACCTGTTTTAACCAAAAAATTTTGCACAAGTCATTTTTTATAGTATCAATTTATAAGAACAATACTTTTTTTGATGATTTTAAAAACTAGAATAAACATATTTCACAATAACGTATTGGGTATAATTTTTTATTTTTAAAAATGGAAAAAAGTTTATTATTGTTGATGACGTTAAAGAGAAATTTATTATTGTAATAACGTTTTACCCTTAATATGTAACTCCCAAAAGTAGTTCTCTGTCCAACTCTGCCTATGTACGGAATGTAACTGACCATGTTATAAAGTTGTACCTCTTGATTACGGCCTAGGCTAAAACATTACTAATAATAACGACTTTAAAGAATCCAGTCACGTATGATTAAGCTAGCAAATTTTGAATCTTTTTGATCGATCTACAACTCGTACGTTATATAAAACGTTATTGACAGTTACATGATAAGCAAGTGTATTTCACTCACCTGACCTTAAAATACATGATCGTTAGAAAGATGCACTTTTACCAATTAAGTTCAAGTGTTTGCCTCATCACTTATCACTAAGTTTGAGTGTCTATCTTACAAAATGTGTCAAACTTAGGGGCTATCTAGGTCTATAGCCTTAAGACCAGTGGCGGATCCAGGATTTTCACTCGAGGGTCGAAAAATAGGGATTTGGGAATTGAAAAGTGATTTAGCCTTTAGGAATGGGACCTGGAATTTTTTTGGGTTCAAATCCACACTTTTAAGCACATTTTTTAAAAACAAAAAAGTGAAAAAATTGGGAAGTGAAAATAAATGAGGATATGCCTTCTGGAATGTCATCTCTCTTCCCTCAATTGGGTAAACCTGCATTAGCTTCAGAAAACTTCCCTTTAAATCCTATGCAGAAACTACAAGCTCATCGATATGTTCTTCTGAATTGTGCAATAATCATGCCATTTGTGGAGTGAGTAACTCTTACAAACTTTATGTTCTTTGTCTTTGTAATGTTTGAAGTAGGCTAATCATAATCTTTAACATTAACTTAATAATTTCATATAGCGAATTTAGAGAATAGATAAAGAGGAGTTCAAGGGGAAGAAGACCTTCACCTACAGAGATAGAGGGGAGAGTTAATAAAGAGTTTTTTGATTGGTTTCAAAAGCGGGTGAATAAGCAATCGTTATTTATTGTTTATATTTGATTTGAATGAACAAATTTGACTAAGTCCATTTTATTTTGATTTAGCTTATGAATCAAGACACAATAGATACAATGTCTATCGATCTAAAGTTTTTAGCACGAGGTCCATCTGTAAATGCAAGAAGATTTACTGCATATAACATTAATGGGTCCAAATTTTGAACTTTGGCTCGAGAAGAAGTTTTGAAAACACAGAATAGTGGAGTTTTCTTAACCTCCAAAACATCATGTGTTGCAAGCAGTGTTGACGAAAATTTAAGGCAAGCAGAGTTACCATATTATGGGAAGTTAGAAGATATTATTGAGATTAATTACAATGGACGGTTCAAGGTTGTTCTTTTCAAATGTAAATGGGCTGATACGACTCGAGATAGAGAGTATCAAAAGGATCATTGGAATTTTAATTGTGTTAATTTTGATAGATTGATTCATACTAGTGAACGTGAAGAACATGAGCCTTACATCGAAGCATCTCAAGCACAAACAGTGTACTATGTGGATGACATTGTCAATAAAGGGTGGAGTGTTGTTGTGCATCTAAAGCCAAGAGATTTATATGATTGGGAGAAGTAATGGAAGAACAAGTATATGAGAATGAACCATAGCAAGAGCAAGAACTCAACCAATTTTTCGTTGATGTTCTTCTGAATTGTGCAATAGTCATACAGTAGAGGCAAATTTTGCTACTAACCTAGCAACAGATGCAATGTCTGACTGAGTTTTACTGAAGATTTTCGTTAATTTTGTTTTTTATTGAAATTTTCTATGATTATTTATTGGCTTTTAATGGATATGTTTGATTCATTAGAAAAAGATTGAACTTTTGATTGGAGAATGATTTTCTTTTAAAGATTTCATTTTAAATTTCAAAGGACTTAATTATGATGAAATTGTGCATAGTTCTTTCTATAGATAAATTGTAAGTTTAGCCAAGTCTAGTTAATTGTGGTGTTTAACTGTCTGCTCAAAGCAGCCGCGAGCGACCAGGGATAAAGGACATGTCTGCTCGAGGAGATGGACTGACAAATCAGTAGTTGAAGACTTATTGTATGGCTATGAGGTTCGTATACTTATTCTGATATTTGTTTAGAATGTTCATTAACTGTGAAATTCCTTTTCGAAAAATATATTGGAATCCTTTCCTTTTCGAATACATGTTATTTGATAATTGGACGGGTGTTTGCAATAACAATTCCATGTTTATAAGCAAGTTTGTATTTCATCTTGAAAAAGGGTACGCAAGTCTCAGTTTGTGATCCCCATAATCCATTCCCTGTTTTGAATCCTCAACTACATAATAATGGTTCCAACTATGGTATTTCTCATAATTAATTTCTCACTATAGCTTCTGATATTTCTCGACATGGTGAGATACACGACGTGAATGGTGAGAAGGTTGCTGTAATTTATTATGCTGGTGAAAAACAAACCATGGAAGAAGAGAGACGAGAAACCAAGCTTCAAGATGTGAAACCATCAATATCTTGCTCTTCTGGATTTTAACTTCCTTAATTTATTGGTGTATTTTTTTTTCAAAGGTCGTACTTTAAAGCTCCTTCCTTTGATGTGGTATTTGGGAATAGTGAAGGCTGGCGGACGATATTGAGGAATCAAGATATGTTTAAAGGTACAAACATCTTCTACATTTTATTGGTACTATGTCTATATTGTGACCTGCTGAATTGATCTTATACCTATTTACTTATATTGTGCTCAGTATTACTTAATGATAAGAAATCCTTGCTCGACATTTGTTTTTTAAAACCTAGTCAATCTGCCGCATTTTACTTTTAAAAGGCCTCAAGATACTTAATACAAGCAAATAAAGTATAAAACAACCATAGTCAACATCAGGGGAGTTTTATCATAGACTCGTAGTGCCTGTGAAAGAGTCTGAATAGCAAAAAGGGTATCTACACATAAGGTAAGTTATTTTTCAGTTTCATAAAGAGTAGTTTACACATGAAAATATGAAATAAATAGCAGCATAGGCTTGCAATGCTCATAAAGCATCTCTGGCAGCAATTTTGGAGGTGATAGCATCTTCAAATGATGATACCTCTAGTTCCAAATTAGATATCTTCTTAATGTTTGTGAATCTGGCCTGGTTTATTCTTTTTTCTGATTCCGTCAAGTCAATTTCATTGTCCTTTATGACTTTTTCTGTGGCTACCATCTCATCAGTCAATAACTCAAGAACGTTGCCAAGATGTAGTCTGTGTTGTTTGTGATACCACATCTTTTAAAAGACTTCAAAACATGATAAAATCTCAAGAAGTTGTAAACATGCTCAAAATTGAGGGTTCATAAAGTCAGTGAATCTCATGATTTAGCTTCAAATATCTTGTGTGCTACTGTCAAAATAGATTAAAGCATAAAACAACCATAGTCAATATCAAAGGAGTTTTAGAGTTTTATCACAGACTTGTAGTGCTTGTGAAAGAGTCAGAATAGCAAAAAGGGTATCTGCACACAAGGTAAGTTATTTTTCAGTTTCATGAAAAGTAGTTTACACTTGAAAATATGAAATAAATAGCGGCATAGGCTTGCAATGCTCATAAAGCATCTTTGGCAACCCTTCTAGAGGTGATATCATCTTCAAATGGTGATACCTCCAGCTCCAAATTAGATATCTTGTAATGTTTGTGAATCTGGCCTGGTTTATTCTTTTTCCTTATTCCGTCAAGTCAATTTCATTGTCCTTTATGAATTTTTCTATGGCTACCATCTCATCAATTGATAACTCAAGCATGTTGCCAAGATATAGTCTCTATTGTCTGTGATACAAAGACTTCAAAATATGCTAAAATCTCGAGTAGTTGTAAATGAATGTAGACACGATTTACAGAAGCTACTAGAAGCTGCTAGAAGAGAAGAAAGAAGAAATCCATTTATGAGCTCAAAAGGCTAACTTGTACAATTACATGAACATGTATTTATAGTTGTTTATGTAACTAACTATTGAAAGAATTAGTTATAACAACTTTAAGAGAAAAGACTATACTACCCTTAATCATCCTAACCACCTCTTAACTACTTAACAACCAACTATTTTGATGAAGTCTCATTACTCCCCTTCAAGCTAGGAGGAGCAAAAATGTTCAACACTCCTAGCTTGGATAACAAATACTCATGTTGACTTCTGGACAACCCCTTTGTCAAAATATCTACTGGTTGTTCTTTTGTTGGGATATAATTCACTTTGATTGAACCTTGTTGTATCATTTCCCTTATGAAGTGACAGTCAATTTCTATATGTTTTGTCCTCTGATGATAGACTGGATTTGCAGCTATTTGTATTGCTGCTTTACTGTCACTGTATACTTGTATTGGCAACTGCACTTCAATTCCTACTTCCTTTAACATACCAAGTAACCATACTAATTCTGATAAAGTCGATGCAAGACTTCTGTTCAACTGAACTTTTGGAGACTGTGGTTTGCTTCTTTGCTTTCCATGACACTAAAGAGTTGCCTATCTTGATCATGTAGCCTATAACAGACCTCCTGGTAAATGGACAAGAGGCCCAGTGCATCCATAGAAACACTGACTTGTTGTTTCACGGATGTGGGACTCATTGGCTGGAGGTGAAGGGGATGATCCCAGTCAAACTTCTTCATCGAGAGGTCCCTCTGGATTTGGTCCTCTTGCACCCGAGGCTTTCATGATATACAGGATTTGCTGCAATTTGTATTGCAGCCCTACTATCACTATATATCTGACTTGGCAGTTGAACCTCAACACCTACTTCTTTAATCATGCCAAGTAGCCATACCAATTTAGAGACTGTGGAAGCTAAACTTCTATATTCTGCTTCAGCAAAACTTCTTGAAACTGTCGTTTGTTTCTTAGCCTTCCAAGACACTAGTGATTTACCAATCTTGACCATGTATCCTGTAACAGATTTCCTAGTGATTGAGCATGAGGCCAATCAGCATCGCAATATGCAGAGACTAGCTCATCTGAGTCACTTGATAATAATAAGCATTGCCCTGGTTGTCTCTTTAGATACTTAATCACCCTCAGTGCTGCATCCATGTGAGACTTCTTTGGTTGTTGTAGAAATTGGCTTAGAGTTTGAGTGCTCAATGATATGTCTGGTCGGGTCATATTCAAGTACAAGAGTTTGCCTATGAGCTTTTGATACATAGTCTGATCCACCAGAGGATCCTCCAACTCTTCTGGCTGTTTGCTTAGGTGATCATCATACAGTTTGGAAGTTAGCTTAACATTGATGTCAATAGTAGTTCCTGCAGGTCTGGTTGCTGTCATGCCAACCTCAGAAATAAGCTCAAAAATGTACTTTTTTTGACGCATAAGTATGCCTTGTTTTGTCCTAGTGAACTCAATACCCAGAAAATACTTTAGTTCACCTAGGTCCTTCATTTTGAAACACTTCTGTAAGGCTTGCTTTGTCTCTTCAATCAATTTCAGACTGCTTCCAGTAATCAACATCTACATACACAAGTACAATGACTATACCAGCCTCTGAATCTCGAATAAACAAAGAATAGTCATACTGACTATGTCTGAATTTGAGAGCAAGAAGAGCTTGAGGGAGCTGCATATAAATTTCATCCTCTAAATCGCCATGAAGAAAAGCATTAAAGACATCCATCTGATGAACATGCCATTTTTGAGATGCTGCAAGAGAGACTATAGATCTCACTATGACCATCTTAACCACAGGGGAGAAAGTCTCCTTGTAATCTATTCCTTCTTGTTGACTGTAGCCTTTAGCCACCAACCTTGCCTTGAACCTCTCAATTTCACCAGTAGCTTTATATTTAATCTTATACACCCATCTGTAACCTATAGGTTTCTTTCCTTGGGGAAGATCGGTAACCACCCATGTATTGTTGCTTTCTAATGCCTGAATTTCCAACTGCATAGCATCTATCCACATTTGATCTGTCACAGCTTCAGAATATGTACGTGGTTCCTTCAGTGAGGAAGAAGCAGCAATATAACACTGATAAGAGGAGGAGAGATGGTTATAGCTCACATAATTTCCCGAAGGATACTTCACTGCCTTTCGTGTAACAAAATCAGTCAGCCAAGCAGGAGACTGCTTAGTTCTAGTGGACCTTCTGATCTCAGGTGATACAACAACCAGTTGACCCTCTTCACTAGAATCCATAAGAGTGTCATTACCAGAAGAAGAACTACCTGATCTTAGTTCTGCTAAAGGATCACAAACTGCAGTCAAGTTATCAGCTGAATTCTCAGGCATATGCTGGATAGGTTCTGAATCTCCAAATTGTTCAAACTCCTGATTTGCAAGGTCAGGTTCAGGACCTTCATGCTCAGGATTATAAGATACATAAGCTGGCTGAGACAACTCTTGAAAATTGACAGCTGAACTGTCTTGGAATATATCTGTAAATAGCTGGTATCTTCCAAAATGCTTATCAGATGCAAAGGGAAACATGTCCTCTCTAAATATAACATCTCTGCTTACAAAAAAAACTTTGGTGGTAAGATCCAGCAGAATGGGGTGGCTGAAAGAAAACACAGGC